CCTCAGATGAACATGAACTTTCTAGAGAAGCATTTAAGTGATGCATCAAGCCTGGCTGCTGCACTTCAGAGACCACTGTGCACTCAGCCCCACTCAGATTCTTTGTTCATTTTATTTGTTGATAATATTTTGTAAATGCTCTCTTTAATATTGTGTAAATGTGTGGCACAGAGAACAGAAAAAAAAGTTTTGGTGTGTTTTTATGCTGTGTAGACGAGCTGCGTCACCACACCCTGTGGCATTTCTGCAGATTTGATTGCATCAGCTGCGGTCAGGTGGTGAGGAGGGGAAATGACTGCGAGCAGGTGGAACTAACAAAACAATCTCTGAACCGGTTCTGTCGGCCCACCTCAGTTGACTCGACAGATCCCGTGCACGCTGTCACGTGGCATTGCTTGACACAGTAAGAGTCGGGTAGCTTCAGCTCTGAGAGGACCTCAGTGAAGACTTCTGAGAGCTCAGTCCAGCTCTCACTAACAGTCAGCTCCATGCAGCCAATCAGTGACAGCTCATTTAGTTCAGCCACATGATATGGTATCCCCTATAGCTGTAAAAGAATTTTTTTTATACGTGTGTGTTCATATTTCAAAGGTTTGGCTCTCCAGCTGTCACTCACCAGAGTCAGACCAACTGAGAATATCAAGCTCAGAGCCAAGAATGTGCAAAAACATTATTTATGTGCATTTAGTCTTCACGAGGAGTAAGAGAAACCAGATGTTCGGTCATGGATGATGGAGGTATTTCCCCGCTCATCTGTCCCCTCTGAGCTCCTAATTGAGGCTGCTCTGTGCTGATTACCTAGCATACCCAGCATTACCCAGCTTAACTCAGGTCAAAGTTCACGTTACCTGATGTCTTTCATCCTTCAAACCCACTGCTCCACAGCTTCTCTGTTTGTCTTTCTCAGTCTCTCTTCTTCAACAGCAGAAAGCCCTTTTTGTACGTCTGCAGAATCGTTGAGGAGCAGCAGAGGAAATTCCTGCCTTTGCCGACTGTTTTTAAGCACATTTGCTTTCAAAGGACGTCGGCTGTGTTCTTTCCAAACCCTTTACCTTATAACGTACTTGGATGAGACATTACACTCAATCTGAAGAAGTCACAGCTTAATTAAGCGCGTTTTGACGAGTGATCAGGAGCCGGGTTACTGTGTGTGATGCTGGGGTGTAGCCTTCTGTCAGGTGTGTAGTCACAGTCCCAAACAAGACACAGATGCAGGTGTCCTGATGTGTGTTTGCCTCCCAGCAGCTGGCCTTCATTCTTGCTTCTCATCCTGAAGACGTCGTCCATCCTAAAAACTGATGGACAGTGATGGCTATTTAACCCTTACTGGTGTTGTCACCTTGATGTCCCCCATCATCATGTGACCACTGAAAACACGTGTTTGTCCAAACTGTGCATTTATTAAATCAGCGAAGATGCTCAGGCGAGAACCAATGTTCCATCAGACAGAACAGAACAACCACTCCACACACTGATTGGGGTTGGGCGTTAGGGTTAAATAGGCGGGACATCAGCCTTTAGAACTGCAGAAGCCACTTGGATGAGAGCTGAAAGGGCCTGACAAACCTGAAGAAGTGCAGTTTTCTTCATGCTACCTTGACCTGGAACACTGAGAACCTACACAGACGTCCTCTTGGGTTCAGACTCAGAGACTAAACAGTATTGAGTGTGGTCCCGTGCTGACCTTGAACAAGTTCAAGACATGAACAAGACATGCTCCTATCAGCACGGTATAAATATCACAGGGTTATCACATATTTCATCCATCTGTTGGATTAGCTGCACTTCACTGTCACTTTTTAAAATAATGGCTTCAAGAGCAGGCTGTCCTCAGCTGTGTGTGTATCCCCAGGTATGGGTCAGGTGTGTGTCCTAATGTGCTAATGTGATTGCTGCACCGTCCCTTTTTTATGGAGCGAGCTCTGTGTGAGAACAGCTGTAAACCTGGTGACAGGTGGATCGTCATATGATTTACTCAAACTTTACTCCCACTTTAGAAAAAAACTATGAACAACAACAGTGTTGTGCTTGGAAATGTTGAACCTCTTAGTTTAAGTGTCAAAGCGTCAGTTCGCTGAAAGTTAGCTGTGGAAGTTTGTGTTTAAGGTTTTGACAGTGGAGTTTAAATCCTAAATAAAATCCTTTTCATCGGACGGTGTGGCCTAATTGTTCATTAAGGAGCAGACCACCAGCAGTTGTAGCGAGTGAACATGACTCTAGCTAATGATCAGTAAGTGTGTGCGCCCAGCACTGCTCTAGCTTCTGCAGCTGATCCATTAATTATAAAAGCAAAATGAGCCGAGACTCTCACCAAAGCCAATATTTGCACAGCGACTTTCGTACCTGTCGCCATGTTAGAAGCCAGGTGATACTGCCATAATGAGCGTATCAATGTCTCATTTAGGGGAAAGGTGTACGTGACAAACTTGACGTGAAGGATTATTGTGAAGCCTCTTGATTATTTCTTGGTAACGATGCTTCTGTTGAGAAGTCAGCGTTCCCGTTTGATCTGATTAGTGCACTGGCATCACGGATCAAAGAACAAGCCTCATTTGCACACTATCACTTTGCCTTTGAACCTCGGATGCTGAGAGGGAAATCATTTGGCAGACGGGGACAGGTTTCTGAATTCAGCACAGAGGCTCATGTTTGCATGTTACCGATAATGTGGACAGTACATAAAAGCCACAGATAAACATCTCTAAACGTCACTTTCTCCTGTAGAAATTTGCATTTTCTCATGTGGGGAGATGTTGCCCGCCCAGCCATGTCAGTCGCTGTCGTTCATTGTGTTTTCCCACCTCCCCGCCAGGCTGTGAGCTGTGAGAGAGACAGCAAACCTCAGAAGGATTGCTGTGATGCATTACCGATGTCAAACAAGTGTGAGTTTAAAGAGTCGCTTTCTGAGATCTCTCAAACCACAGAAGTGGCTCCAGGAGCTTCGATTCATAACTCACGCTGGCTGGACCCGAGACATTTTCTAGAGGTTATACGCGTGCGGGGGCGAAAATGCAACGCCTGCAGTTTTAGCCTGTATTATTTATCATATCATATTCCCCATGTTGGATACTGAATACGCAACATGTCAGTTCTGTATCTATGACCAAAGACGTCTCGGTTATCGCTGGAAGATGAGCTTTGTCAAACAGGCGAGTGTGTTTTTGTGTTTATGCTCCTGATGATGACAGTTTAACCTCAGTAAATGCTGTTTGTTGTGTTTTGGAGAGAAGTGATTTGTGTCCGGGTTTCTGTGGATTATACAAAGATCGTTCGCCTGCTTTGACCTTTTTGTGTCTCAGGCTCAGCACAGCTCGACCCCAGGAGGTGGAAATGGGGTCTTTCAAACAGGCTGTGTATGAAAGTTGATATAGAAAATCAGAGCACAGCTTTGAGGTGCAGCAGCGACGCTGGAGCCAGGACATGAGCACCTCTGCCATGAATAGCATGAATCCGCCAAACACTGAAAGCACTTTGATTTAGGCCCCTTTGTTACTAAAAGGGCTTTGACGCAGCGGGGGCAGACTCGGGACCTCTGAGGATCTCTAACCAGGACGTTAGCATCAGATCCCTGTGTGGTCCTGTGGGCTGCACATAGCTAGAAGGGCCTGGAAGCTTTTAGACCTTCTGTGTCGCTGTTTTTATTACTTTCAGACTGAATTCTCTGTTTTATCTCTTTCTTTGTAAAATCCCATGCGGTTGGTACACCTGTGCAGGTTTCTGATTGGTCACCTGCTGCTGCAGACTTTATTTATTTTGCTTCTGCTCGATAGGATGCACTCACACTTTGGTTTGTTGATCTTCATTCGACTATCCTGTGCTACAAAGCCAGACTAGTGTATTACTGAGCTGTGTGAGCTTTCTGCTTCTTAAAGGGTTTCTCTTTTTACCTGGCTAGATTACCATGGTAACTGGTGCTGAACTGATCACCTGGTTGGCAGCAGGTCATGTTCAGAGGTTCTGTTTAAAGCTAGCTGGAAGCACCACGTCATCACTGATTCTTGTTTTAAGAGCGTCGAATCATCACCATGAAACATGATCACACATAGTGTCCGTGATTCGAGCAGGGGGCGCTCACAGGGACCACTTAAAGCTGAAGAAGGGTCACGTGACCTGTGAAATGCCCGTTTTACGCCTCCTCTCGACCTGCAGCAGTGTTGTGCAGATGAATGGTTTCACAGAAGACGATTGCACTGCATTGGTTTCAGTGCTTCTTTCACGCTCATTTATCAAACCCAAATGACAAAATGTCTGCTGCGAACTTTGGTGACGATTCAAACTGATCAGATAGGTACAGCATAAATGTGTCCACCTTTGTTTCTGAGTGTGCAGATGCTTCTGGCTCTCAGCTTCTGCTCCACACTGTTTTACCTGCAGGGGAGTTTGTTCCTCGCTGTGACTCCCGAGTCTCTTTTTGTTGCTGCTTTTAAATACACAGGATATCATCACTGCTGCACCTGGCTGCTTGTTCGGGTTCAGCAAGCTACCTTGGAGATGGAAATAAATCTCATTTGCATCTGAATGTTTTCAGTGACATCCTCTTAGCCAGAGACACCAAACAAGAACAGGTAAATCCATCTTTACCTGAATGGAGCTTTTACAGCTAATGACTAGCTCCAGAGGCTGAACTTAATGAGCCGACGCAAGCAGGGAGCAGGGCTGATTTCTTGTTGCTCCACCGCGTGGTGCAGGCTGATGAAAGAAAGATTGTAATATTGTCTGTAATAAATGCCACATGAGGGGTCACTCTGCAGTTTTAACTCTCTCTCACATAAAATGAGAGCTGACAGCCTCTCTGTATCCTGCCTGATGAGTTCTGACACCTTTGCAAATATCAATAAACATTACAGCAGTGTTTTCCAAGGGTAGCTACGCAGGCAGAGACCACCCTGGCTAACTTCTTTTACTGTAAGGCGCCTGAAATGTGACAGAATCCTCTCAGTTCAGAATCCTAGCAGGCTTTTAGACTTAAACTGACATGGTGTTGTTTTATCTCCCTGCAGCGATAGCATGCCAAAGCGGATGGCCCTGATCTGCTTCCTGTCTCTGGTCATGCTGATGAGCATCTTTGGAAACCTGTTGGTCATGGTGGCCGTCTGCAAGGACAGACAACTCAGGTGGGAACGACCTTCTTCTTAAAGGCGCTTCTGTGTAATTGGCTGATGTGCATGAGAGTAAATCAGCAACAGTCAGAGCAGCACTTTTTTTTTTCACTGCCTGTTTCTTATTTAAATATTTTTTTGATTCCTGGTAATGGTTATTGTTGGATCTTTAGCGGATTCAGTTTTTTCTTAGCTGCTTTAGATGTGAATCCCTCCCTGTGTTCCATCCTCATGTGATGAGTCTGTGTTACGTTCACGTCTGTGTTTAGTGATCTCACTTCCTTTATTTTGATAGTGTTCCTTGTGCCTTAGTTTTGCTTCCTCGTGTCATCCTGTGATTTGGTTCAGTTGTGTCTCGTTCTCCCTGCTGTCTCTTCTTCCTCCAGCTCCCCTCTGTGTGTATTAATGTTTGCTGTCACTCCTTCTCCTTCTTCAGTGTGTGATGTGTATGTGCTATTTTCTCCTTTATGGACTTTGTGTTTGCCTCCACGGTCTGTAACATCTACAGAATCATGGCAGAAACTGCTTCTTCGTGTGTGTCTGTATTTTCTAAAGTGGTTTCCACCATTGCAGCTCTGATCTTCATGAAGCAAAGGAGAAGGGTGTATGAAAAGTGAAGGAATTAGAGGCGGAGTCAGAGGGTCAGGCTGAGGATGGAGGGTCATGTGGGAGCTGCTGTCACCTCAGTGCTTCAGTCCTCCGTCTTCACCTCGCCCTTCTCTTTGTCCCTCTCTCTGTCTGACGTCTCTCATCTTTCTTTCTTTGCCCCTCTCATGACCTTTGACTCATGGGATGTAGTGTGTGTGTGTGTGTGTGTGTGTGTGTGTGTGTGTGTGTGTGTGTGTGTGTGTGTGTGTGTGTGTGGCATGTTGAAGTCAGTGAGTGACGGCATGTCTGCTGTGATGTCTTACGTTGCTGAGGTGAGAACATTTATGTCTTTGTTCTTTTGTCCACTGGGAAATGCTCAGTGGGGACGTCCCTCTGGTGAACGTGGGCGATAAAGTAAATAGGAACTCTTTGCACATCATTTACAGGAATCATGAGTATCCCAGGTAGGAACAGCTGTTAGATTACCAGTGGTGAGATCAGTCACTGTGACGGTGGTCGTGCCTGTCGGTCTGTAAAGGCTCACATACAGTTGGTGTGTGATTTGTGTGGTTTTGGGTTTATATGTGGGACAAGTGCTTATGCAAACCAAAAACTGTAAACAAAAGATGGACAGTGTCACATCTCCCATTATTTTCTGCAGCCTAACATTAATCAGTCATGTTGGCTTTTTGGAGCCAGAACTGATCATATTTGGAGGATGCTGAGCTCAGTAACATCCAGATAAAATCATTGAATCTCACTGTGCCCCAAAAAGTCTTGGACAATAATGTTAGTACAGTGACCTCACAGCAGCCATGGTATTGGTCACATGATGTTATTAAAAGTGCCTCAAAAGGCTCCAACAGCGCAAACCTGGCCCAGAGGTCCAGTTCAGGAACTCCAGCCGCCTGTGTCGCCTCCACCTGTCAATAGAATCGGGGGCTGTGTGTTTTGGCAGGTACGCGTTGGCTTCGTTTTTCAGACCTGGAGGCTGACACCTGACAGCGAGAGAAGAGAGTCACTGTGAGACAGACGAACAGTAGCTTACGTTCAAATATTTCTGTCCTGATGGGAGTTTAAAAGAGTTTAAAGTGAAAGTGAATCATACAGCAGTCATCAGATCTCAACTCAGTTAAACAATGATGAGTAGATTATTAATTAATGAATTAATTTTTATGTAGGGCTGGGCGATATGGCCTAAAATCCATATCGCGGTATAATTTGAAGCACGTGCGGTAACGATATAAATATCGCGATATATTCTTTTCTTCTGTATAACATTTTCACAAAAATCGAGAGTGTTCCTTATGTATGAATTCTGGTTGTGCTTACTGACCTCGAACAGATTTTGGCGTGCAGAAATCTGTTAAAAAATGTTTTAGTACAACTTTGGTAAGCCGCACTGCTTGATGGATTGTCAGAGCATTACGGCTGCTGTAGTGAGAAGCTTCGCGGAGTAATCTGGGTCCAAAACTCCGTCCACTTCAGGTCCCAAAGTCAAACGAACACTAAGAGTTAAAAACGGTCTAAATTCTTTCATATTTAATGAAATCATCAGCGTTGGTCCTTTACCAGGTGTAACAATTAAGTTTAACATCCATGCATCCATGAAAACAGAATTTATTAAATTTAACGGAGTTACAAGTTAACAGGAAGTTAGCTCGCTAGTTTCCACCTAAACATGACATACCATGTTCCGACTGAGAGATTTTTGTAACTAATTAAAATGTACAGCTCTGCTATCACTTCCAACATAAATGAAGACAGAAAACTAAACAGCAGTGACGTTTGCAGGGTTCCTGAAGTTGGACTACCTGGTATATAATGTTGTGCTACGTGACGTGATTGCTAGCGACGCAGCTGTGTTAGCATAACATTAGCACAGTGAAGCTGGAGGATGAACGCCAACGATTTTTCCACTCGATAAAAGTTAACGTGAGGGATTGTGGTGGTTAGGGACAAATGCAATCGCATAGCAGGATGCTATACACGGGCCAAACTTCAGTCAGGAGAACAACTGAGATTATTCATCCACAATACGAGGTTAGATATTAATATGCTGCAACAACATGGGAATAGAGCAGCTGCGAGAGAATTCAACATTAATGAATCAATGCTACGGAAGTGGAGGAAGCGCAGTTTTTGGCTTTCCCCATATTTCAAAAGTGCTTCATCTCTTTGCTATGACTGTCGCCCGGCATAATTTGTAGATGATAATGGTTGTAGCCGCTTCAACATGCGCTATCGCGGTAGAGCGGTATAGTCAAAATCTCTATCATTGGCCAAATTTATATAGTTGCTATCGTATATCGTTTATATCGCCCACCCCTATTTTTATGGTGGAAATCATTATTTTAAGGAGATGTTTTTCAGAGAATCCATGTGAATGAATAAAAAACGGTTCCAGCAGCTCATGGATGACTATCACCCGTCTGTTTGTAGTCTTGTTGTAGTCAGAGAAACTGAGATTACAGCATAATGCCCATTCCTCCTGAAGCTGCTTTTCATGTGCCTTTGTAAACGTCTTCCTCATCCCTCACTGCAGAGTCCCTCTCACTCAGTCTGGGACCAGCTTTTCCAAATTTATAATCCCAGTTACTAAATTAATGGGAACCCCCGATTCATGGTCACCTGATCCAGCCCTAACTATATGAAGGTTTGAATCTTAAAAGTAGAGATAGTGTCTGTCTCTTGAATCCAAACTGGAAGCTGCTTCCACAGAAGAGGGGCCTGAAAACTGAACCCTCTGCCTCCCATTCTACTTTTAAATACTCTAGGAACAACAAGTAAACCTGGTGCTCCTCATTAATTTGCGAGGAACAAATTAATGAGGAACACAGCCATTTGGTGATAATATAATATAAGATAACATTAGCAGCTCAATATGTCACAATCAGAATAATTTATAAATAATAAAAACTGCTGAGTAAGTCTCTGTTTCTCTCATAATCTTTCATCTGTGGTTTGAAATAACCTGAGCGCTTTATTCTCGTAACCAGTAAATCATCGAGGCAGAGGTCGGGTTTTTCCACAGCAGCCAGGTCTGTGTGAGGGAGCTCAACAGCTTAGAGGCATTTTACATGTTTACCTAATGTACAGTACACACACACACACACACACACACACACAGTAAACACCAGCAGAGGGTGATTCAGAGGGTGGTAAAGCACTCATCATGAAACATCACACAAACAAAATCACTGTTACCACCTTTTGTTTCTCTCTGTGTGTCATGTCGAGTGTGTGAACACACACACACGCTGCAACACAGTGTGTGTGTTTATAGACACTGAGCAGCTCTGCGAGCGCTCGCTGTTATAAACGGGTCGCAGCAGAAACTTTGCTTCCACATTTCTGATTTTGTCTTTTAACATCAAAGTTTATTTACATCATTTACAAAAGTAAGAACTAAATTCATCAAATAAAATAGTTTAAGTGAAAAAGAACATGAAAGAAAAGACCTTTCCAAACAATTCATTCATTCTTTCCATTGTTTTATTTCTGCCTTTGAGATTGTCGTTAAATTATCCCTGCACTTCATTAAAGTGCTATTTGGAGTCGTGTTTTTAGTTGTAGTCATAAAATATTTGGCTGACTTAATTGAGTTTGAAATGATTTTTTCTGATTTAAATGAATGAAATAAATAACTGTGTATCCTCCAAGGATTAATTCGGTGTAATTGCTGATTTCAGGGTTTTGTGCTGTTTTTTTAAAAAAAACATTAAAGTTTAAATTCCTTTATTATTATTCCAGACTGCACCTCTCAGAAATTCCTCAGAAAGGCAGTAATGAAATAAAAATCCAGTTATGGGGATTTAATTGAACTGTAGGGTTTATCATTCCCATTAAAGCTTGTCTTTGTGATTGTGTTGTTGCAGACGCCGTCGAGGCCTCCGGCTCTATTCTGCAAAACAAGATTACAAGCTTTGTGCTTTTTATCGGCATTTGTTATAAATGCAGATGGTCGTTTAGTTTACGTGGCTTCGCCATCAGGAGGTGACCCAGCCAGAAATAGTTTGACTGGACAGGACAGAAACGTGATGAATATGAGAGCATCTGAAATGATTCCTTCATGTTTGCTTCTCCTCTCTGACCTTTCTGTTTGAATCATCTTTTCTTAGATCTTACATGTTGGACGTCCTCGTCACACAGTCCCTGCTAATAAAGTTTATTTATTCAAAGGACTTTCAGCTAAACACAGTCTGTCATCCTGACTAAACACAGTGCCTCCTCCTCCACCTCAGGGCTTCTTAATGCTTCTAAACTGCTCTGAATTATAGCCAACACAGCTCCGTGTGTGCGTGTGTGTGCAGGATTTACTGCAGGCAGAGGTGTACCGGCCTGTTCCAGAGCAGTGGATGGATGGAAAGCCTTCGCGGCCTTTCCCTCGTACTGAGGTTATTTATAGACGCGGACATTGACAGCGCAGAGACGAGGCGGCTGACTGACCGACTTTTTGTCTGCAGAGCTGTTAGTGGTGGTGTTTTCTGCCTTTGAGTGAATTACTGACTGACTGCTGTGCAGCTGCCTTTTTGTCCATCAGGTTATTAGTGGCATCACAGACAAACTGTGATGCCACTAATCAATAGCTGAAATTGATTTGTTGCACACACAAGTCCAGGATTTTACAGCTGACTGAGAGTGGCAAGCAATCACCTCGTCTCAGGATTTCTTTGTTTTGTCAAACTGCAGTAAGTGTGTGTGTGTGCGTCTGTCTGTCCAAGGTGTGTGAGCAGTGAAGCACAGTTTAAAACCTGCAGAGTGAAATCCATAGAATGTACTTAAGAAGATGGAAGTAAAGCTGATTTGGGGAGGGGGGGGGGGGTGAATGCTCCATCATTTAGAATGTTAGAAATGATGAATATGATGGCCCATCGTCGGATAAAATAGATGATTTATGGCAGTTTTTTAACACCTGGATCAGTGTGATGTCATAGAGAGTGGCTATTTCTAATGAGGTCATCTCATTCATCCCACCTACAGTTGTCTTAGAGGGGGAGGAGCTAAAGCAGCATGTTTCAGACGGAGGATGAACTGGGAGGTGTGCTGTGCAGCTCCAAAGGTTCGGGCATGCTCAGCACGCGTCCGAAAATTTAACCCAGCTGTGACAAAATAAAACAGGAAGTAACAGAAGACGAGAACACCTACACGGGGCGACACTGCACACAGGAAACACAAAACACTAAATAAACCAAATCACCTGAAGCAGAAAGCTAACAGAAAGTAGACATTAACTGGACTAAAGTATAACCAAGAGACTCAAACTCCAGCAGATAATCCAAAACATAAGAGAGAATAAGTGGTTTTTGTTTGTGTGTGTGATGCTGCAGAGTGCGACATGTGTTAACATGTGCTAAAACACACAAAATCACCATCAGGTTTGTGATGGTGATAACAGATGCCGCCACATGCTCGTTACTAAATCAGGCTCATCCCACATTAGCAGACTCGTGCTGAAGCCACACCCACATTTCTCTATTTGAGGTCAGCCACTAACCAGAAGGTCAGTGGTTCGATCCTAGGCTGCTCCAGTCTGCATGCCAAATATCCTTGGGCAAGACCTCATGTTGCTCTCCGATGCATCCATCAGAGTGTGAATGTGTATGAATGGTAGACTACTTAGCACTTAGGTCAGAAAAAAGTGCTTGTGTGATTGGGTGAATGAATTAGTTGTATAAAGCGCTTTGAGTACTCAGACAGAGTAGAAAAGCGCTATATAAGAACATGTCCATTTCCCATTTCCGTACAGACCCCCATGCTTGCCCACAACCGTTAAGAAACGTGTAGGCGACACAGAATCACTCAGAGACAAGTGGTTCATCGAAAAGTGAAGGCTGTTTATGCTTTGAATGAAATGGGCTGTGTTTCTGACAACATGCGACTCATCAAATCAATAAAAATGTGAGCAAAACGTTATCAACCTCCTCTCTCTGAACTGCTGACTAGCACGAGCCCGCTGTAGCAATTGGTGAAGAAGATGAGAGTAACTGTCTGTGGTTTTTGTAAAAAGTTTGTCATCTTTATCTTGGTGAAATTGGAGGAGTGTGACTCGTCTGTGGGATCCGTGCTGCTGGATAAAGACAGTCACTTAACACAGAAAAAAGGAACAAAGACTCAGCAGGAGCTTAGAAATCAGTGAGGATTCATCCCAAAATCTCATGTTCTTCACTCAGACATGTATGTGTGTGTGTGTGTGTGTGTGCGTGTGTGTGTGTGTGTGTGTGTGTGTGTTCCTTTTCAGTGTGTGTGTTTCTTACTAAACGTAAGAAACACACACACTGAAAAGGAGCAGCTGATCGTGCACCACTGTGTGAAAAGCACACATGCAAACTCAGTCAAAGGGACGCAACAAAGGATGGGGGGGGGGGAGTAACAGGAGCAGTGTAAGAGGACAGACTCACACACGCGAACGGGAACCAACAAACCTTTAATCAGCCAAACCTGAGGCACCAAACCCATAACATGAATGTAAGGTCACAGCACAGACACAAATCCTTCTTAAAACCAAAAACAAACCATGACACACCGTCCCGCTTCTCACCTGTGAGCTATTGGCCAGTCACAGTCCTCCCTGACCTCCCCAGGACAGCATGCATGTCTGACAGGTCAAACATGCATGCTGACTCTGATCAGAGTATTCTGAGAGGGTGTGCTGCAGGAGAAGAGCTTTAGTTTTAGACATTTATTCATCTTTAAAGACCTTAGAGTTTTAAATAGCCATGCTGTGGGAGGAGCCAGATAGGTGTGGACCCTGACTACAGGGACTAGTGGTCGCTGGGTAAAATGCTGCTTCCAGCTCGGGTCTAAGGACGCAGATGGAAGCACTGTGCTCTCTAAAATACATACTTCACATTCTTAAACCTGACAGGCTCCAATGGTTATGACCTCAGTCAGAGAGTAAGTGCTCTCAGTCAGTGCGTGCAACTCTGACAACGCATGGACATCCTCCTAATGTTTGCATTTATGATGAACTAACTGATCCCGCCTCTCTTTCTTCAGGAAAATCAAGACCAACTACTTCATCGTGTCGCTGGCGTTTGCCGACTTGCTCGTGTCGGTGCTGGTGATGCCGTTCGGCGCCATTGAGCTGGTCCACCAGCACTGGATCTACGGCGAGACCTTCTGTTTGGTGAGGACTTCTCTGGACGTTCTGCTCACCACCGCGTCGATACTACACCTGTGCTGCATCGCCCTGGACAGGTGAGACCGTCTGACTGTCTGTCCTCTGTGTGTGTGCGTGTCTGATCTGCTGGAATCTACCACTTAACCTGCACCACTCTCATTCTCATTGGTCGGGGTCTCTCGTGCATGTGTGCACATATACTGAATATAACGATTGGCTGCAGGCCACATCAAACCATTGGCTTTGATTGGCTGGCTCGAGGCTATCAATTCCCACACCTCTGATGGAGGGGCTCGTTTTCTGTTCTTAATTATTCGTCATCCTGCAGGAGACTGAGGTGTGTGTGTGTGTGCGCATGTGCGCATGTGCGCATGTGCGAAAGAGAGAGAGGGCGTGAGAAATATTTTGACGGTTTTTCTCTGCTTTCACAGACAAAAGCAGCTCTTCTTTAATTTCAGGGTGAAGACATGTTTTAACCTTTAAGTCAAATATTCCTAGCTTGTGTTTTCTTGTCTTTTATTAAAGTTGCTTGTATCATGTTGTTTAGGATTTTGCAGACAGCTGGAGTGAACATCAGCATTTCTTCCTAACTTTTCAAACACAGTTTTAAATCCCACCAAAGTGATCCTGAGGGAACAAATTAAGCTGCACAGCCTCCTCCACCTGAAAGAGCTCTGAAAGTCAGAGTTTGTGGAATATGTATTTGGCTTCACTCGAACTTTGATCTAATCTAATGACGTTTGAAAGTAATCAGATGCTATCTGTGTACAAGTGTGAGCAGCAGCACTATTGAAATGAGTCTGTAGCAATCACAGCTAAGCAGTGAGATGTGGGTGAAAGCAGAGCTGCTGAGACAAAGCACAGTTAATCTTCACACGGACTCTGGGAAAAGATATAAAACCGGTTTCAGTGGCAAACACAGCCTAAATGTGTTTTTCAGCTCTGAAAATGCCATACATGACAAAGTTATGAGAAGGCTGGTAAAGTAACTTGAACTGCGACCCACTCCTGTGAAAATATTCACAGTATGAAGGGAACATTTTACATGTCTTCATTAGGTTATTGTACAAAGATTCAGCTGGTTGTGAGCGGGCCGAGGCTGGACTGTTTGGATTTGAATGATTTCACGTGGAGCAATCCTCATTACAAGTTGCTGTGTGGCCCTGCGGGCCGGTGCTGGATGCTGACGAGTGCTGTGCTGTGCATCATTCACTAATGATGTGTCCATAATCAGAAAACAGGCAGGACTCGGTGACCTGTCTGAGGCCTGCAGGCTGAATGCAGAATAAATGTTTAATGACTCTGACCGTTATTTATCTGTTTCACACCAGTGAGCTCCGTCTCTCACATGTGTGTGCATGTATTTTTAATGCAGAGCCACAAACAACAAAGGAGGAAATGGTTTCTTTATTAAATTATCTGGCTTCGGGAGTTTTGTATTCCTGTGTATGTACAGCTGTCTCTGCATCCTGGCACAGCTTCAATTACCAATTCATAGCAAGGCAATCACCCCTCGTTACCCTCGAGTGCCCCGTCCCCTGTGTATGATCAAATCTACTGTGCCCTGCATTTTCCTCCCCTACCTGCTAATTAGCTGCACACACACTTCCTGCTTTTAATGTGAGTGACAAAGTGCATCAGTCTGTTCAGCTTCTCGATTATAAAGTTCCTGTTGTTCCACACGCGGCCAGCCGAGTCTGTGTTTTCCTAACAGTAGCTAGATGGTAAATGGACTGACTCTTATATAGCGCTTTTCTACTCTCCCGGAGTACTCAAAGCGCTCTATACAACATGCCTCATTCACCCAATCTCACAAGCACTTTATCTATACGTAGTGCTTTCTAAGTACATTCACACACATTCATACTCCGATGGATGCATCAGAGAGCAAGTTGGGGTTAGTATCTTGCCCAAGGATACTTGACATGCAGACTGGAGGAGCCAGGGATCGAACCACCGAGCTTCCGATCAGTAGGTGACCTGCTCTACCTCCTGAGCTACAGCCACCCCACTGAAGTGCACACGCTACAAATCGCATACGTGACACAACCGTCCGCACGTGTGAAAACATACCGTCATTTTGATTAAGAGTTACAGGTAATGTGATAATTAATGAGAAAGGCTGGTGAGCTTTAATAACATGTCATTACTGTAAGAAGAGGCAGTTGCTTCAGAGCAGTTTGTAAACCGTAGAGCAATAATCACAGGTTGTCGTGTGTCTGCCTGTTGCGCTGAAAACCTGACGGATGTCACAGTGTGAAAGTGCAGCAGTTTTCTATCCGTCAGGCAGAGAGAGGCTGGAGCTCCATATGGTGCCCAGATTAAATGTTCCTCTGATACTGTGTAGGTAACATCCCACAAACAGACACATGGACAGAGGACAGCAGAAACAAATGTGAGCACTGGTTCCGTTACAACAACTGGAAAGCAGAAATTCTTCATATGCAGTTTTACTTCATATGAAGTGTTATTCTGTAAAACATGTAACGTAGCGTCTGCTAGCACACTTTAGCCCCAACAACAAACCTCTTCATGAACCGACGGGTCAGCTGTGCCCCGTTGTCTCGGAGGCACACTCCTTTCGAGGTAGAAATCAAGTGTGTCAGAAAAACATTTATCGACAATGTGAATGTGTAGAATAACCATGGCACGGAAACTGAAGGAGAAACTGTGGAGCTGAACCAGAGGGTCCTCATTTATAGTGAGCATGAATATATACACCTGATAGGGAATGTTGTAAAGTACAGCTGAGCTCATGTTGAAGCCGCGGTGGGGCACAGTCTGCAGGTTCTTATAAAAGCAGTAATCCTGTCCAGTAGGTCCAAGTTTGGGCAAAGCACGCCGATGCTCTCTGGTCTCAGGGTGCCAAATGTTGTTCTGGACTCTGAGGGTTAGCCTTTTTTGGAAATGCATAAAAGTTAACCTGGAGGCTTGCTTTTGGTTTTTCAGTTGCTTTGGCTTAAGTTGCATTAATCACTGTGAACTATCCTCACTGTGTGATCACCCGGGCCCCCCCCCCCGGGTGATCACATAGTGAGGATCACTCTGCCCGGGGGCACTCGGGCAGAGTTTCCTGACTAAACTTCAGTATTTGATGTTCTGGGAATGCTAATGTGAGCCAGTGTGCTGCTCTGTAGAAACAGCAGAGGTGGTTCGTTACAGGAGAAATCAGAAAATGGAAAAAGCCTGTGATCCAACAGCTTTAGGTCCTCCTTCAGCCGCAGTAACTCACAGTGATGGTTCCTGCGAGACGTCATCAGTCTCTCTTAGCACTGTGCAGGAGTTTTGGTCCGTTCCTCTTCACAGCGTAGCTTCAGGACTGGACTTCTCCTGCTGTGCTGTCATGAACTTTAACCTGCTAACTGACAGCTACAGATCTGAGGTTGTGCTCCTGGGTTTTTGTCTTTGCACTGTCTGAGGATGGGCTGAATGTGTTGCGGCGTCCACGATACCTAACCTCAGCTTTTATAGACGTGTTCACTGCTGATGATCAGCTAATTTTGATTAGCAGCTGCTCCTTTCCCTCCTAATTCCCATGGCAGCGCAGCGATGGACATAGTTTTTCACAGGACTAGGGGCTCTGGTTCTGCAGGGGGGAGGGGTGCTCTGGTTCTGGCTCTGCTTTCAATAAAAGAATGCTGAACAGAAACTTGTAACCTGAATCGCTCCCACGGCTCGCTGAGATGCTGTACAGAGGCAAAAGCATGTTCCACTGTGCAGAAACCTGTGGAGCAAGTTGGATTTCACAGGAAGAACTTTGACCCGGGCTGAGCTCAGTGCTAATCGTGAGTCTAGTAGAAAGAAACCAGGCTGGGGGGGAGAGTCAGTGCTCCTGCAGCTCAAACAACCATCACATCGTGTGGGGAGAAGTGAGCTAGCAGCAGACGGAAAACCACTACAGAGAGGGAAGATCTTCTGTTGCACCTAAAAAGATGTCAGATGTCAGACCAGAGAAGTTATGAATTATAAATCTGTGATAGAAGCGTCTGCTGACTGCATGTGTGGAAGGAAGCATAAACACAGCAGGAACACAACAGAATGTCCATGAAAGAAACGCAAATGTCTCCATCTTAACGTATCATTTTTCCCCTTTGTTTTTTGCTACATTCATACGTAGAAAATATGATGAAGTGATGAAAGACAGATGAAAGATGCAGAGATGTTTTATCTTCCATCTGTGAAAAAATTACTTTTCATTTCTCCTTTCAGCTTTAAAATTATTAACATTTAATTTTTCACGTGTTTATGACACACAGACAGGCAGAGTGTATGTTTGCCTCCAGCGAATCATTTTTATGGGGCGACTCGGCCAAACCTTCATAGAAATACACGTCTTGTTATTTTTTTCTGCTTTGCTAAAGGTATTTCATGTTCTGGGTCGCTCACTCATTATCGTTCATTTGTCCAGACATGACCGACAGCCATGTAGAAGCTGCACAAGCTTCTTGACCTCACAGATAATCAGGCTCATTGTACATAACCCCCTTTAGATTCCAGGCACACCTGTACAGGCCATCTGGACTGGCTCTCCATCTGAAGGGTCTGAATAAGCTGAGAGTTGAATCCAGCGATGAGGAGGCACGGTCAGCTCCTAGCTGTCTTCATCTGAGCGCCTGCCCTGCTTCCTCTCCTCTTAATGATGTAAGCTCTAGCCGTGATGCTGGGTTATTGCTTTAGTGGCGAGGATACAGGCCCCAAGGATCATTTTTATTGGCTGGAATGACTGTTCATTAGATGTTACAGACACAAACCGAATCCTGAACTGTTATTCACAGAATTACAAGGTTAATGTGCACAGTTCACTGTTTAAGCATTTAAACATTTAAGCATCGAGTCTGATTATAAATCGTTATATCATCACATCAGAAATCACTACTTTAACATAACAGCTATGAGCTACGAGGATGTCTCTGTGGTGGGGCGTGGTCATCCGCAATCACGCCCACCGAGTTAAGACATTCAGGGTTGTTGGGGTGTGTGGTGGCAAGGAGTATGTGCGGCCTGCAGCTGAGAGCTGTAGTCGCACTGTGTGAATAAAGTTGGCTCTCAAATCACACCTCTGGACCCGTCATCTTTG